TCCTGTAGCAGGTATCTGCAGCAGGCTGGCTCTTTGTTACCCTCTGCTCTTCCCTCCCTAGGTGCTCCGAAGGTACGAATCGATAGGTCTGTCTGTGTTTCGGTGGAAAACAGCTCCGGGGGAGACCCGCCGCTTAATTCTGCTCGTGCTGCGGAGTTTTCCTGTAGCAGAGGTGGCAGCGCGGCTGGCTGGCTGCCTGGCATCCCTTCCAGGGATGTCATGTGTAAAAGGTCAGGGGATGCTTCCTGAGCTCACCGCAGCTGGTTCAAGAATAGCAATTACAATTTAAATTACTTTTTCTTTTTTTAAAATGGTGTCTTCTGTATCAGTTGAATGAATTCTGAAGTGGGGGGTTACGCTGCGTGTATAGGGAAACAAGGAAACTCTGCAGACAAGAAATTGAGAATCATCTCTGACTATTTTTAATTGCAGTTTTCTTAACATCTGCTTCCTTTCCACAGTTTGCTTATGGATGGAGTAAAGCCTAGGATGAAACTTCAAAAGGCTTGATAGAAAGATATGTGCCTGTGTCTGTAAAGTTGTTATGTTGTTTTGTATTTTTTTTTTAAAGAAATTCTCTATTTTGCATACAAACCAAGGTTGTAGCTATAGGCAGCTTCTCTCTTTATATTGCACAAAAATAATCTATTAATTGTCTGATTTATGGATGCTATGGCAACTTTGAACGCCGTTAAAGTATCGAACAGGTTTTTAGTTATTTCAAATTAGCACATTGTGTTAAAGTGTAAACAGTGTCCTTCTGTCACCTGCTCCAAGCAAAGACAGGTTAGTGCTGAGGATGTAACGCTGTTCCCCTAGAGTCTAATATATAATTATGAAAAAATAGCAACATACCTAGTGGAATTTTTTTTTTTAATAAAAGCAGTACTGTCTTTATGTAAAGCGTAGTTAATTTAAAGCAAAACACATTGCTTCCAGGAATACCTAGTTGTTTTGTCATCATTTCTGTATTCTTGTTTCATTTATTTATTTATTACAACCTGAGCAGGCAGAGTATTGCTTTGTGTACAATGCTAGCTAATGAGACAGAGTTACTAAGAAAGATACATCCTAAAACATTTAATTTTGCCAATACCAAATTTCAACTGTTCTGTCTTAAACTCTTAGGGAATGCTCACTACTTAAAAGCACTACGTATCATTAAGTTATTCTCTGGAAAAATATTAGCCAAAGTGACTGAATTAAGGTGTTTTAAAATACGATATTCTTGAGTTCTGTTTTACAACGGCAAGTGCGTTTTGAGCACTGTGTTGAGTTGAAGCCTAGAGTTGAGGAGATGAGCCTTTTAAGAGGAAACTTTCTGTTCCTCATACTTTCCATTCTGTAGTTATCTAGGACTTAATCTGGGATATTGAGGTGCCTCTTCTTACATCTGTCAAAAATGATTCACAGGAAATGCCATCTGATGAATCAGTTTCATGTTTGCCTCTAGAGTACTTTTGTTCCACTAATCACCAAATCTTAAAAAATCTGAGCAGAAGAAATAAAGGGAATTAAGAGTGATGACGACTAATCAAAGGAGGAAATATGAAGACTGGTGAGAGAGGCAATTGCCTTGCAGAAATTTAATAGAATAATATAGAAATAGTAAGTTGGGCATTATTACTTACGTTTCTGCGTAATACAAGACCATAACACAGTGAAAGCCAACTTATATGACTGATTAAGATGATACATTTTTATGTTAACTATTGATACACAAAATTTCCTCCTGAGACAGTATTAAACAAGATTGTAATAGGATTCAGGAAGGGAATAGAAGTGTATATGATTGAGAGAATACCCCACAGTAATTCAGAAAAAAAGTATATGAGCCCTCACTTCAGGGCATAGTCCAGTTAGAGACTGTTACGGAATGAGTAATTTATTGGGGGGAGAGAGAGAGATATTTATGTATATATATACATATGTATCTACACACACAAGCATACGAACACTTCCCCTAGTTTCCTCTCTTTGGATTTACACCATGTGGGAGTTCTGATGCTGTTCACCGTCAGAAACTAGATAGTGGCTTAGATAAGACTGCTAGTATTATCAGGTGCTGAAGTTCCTGTTTTATAGATATTTCCAGTGGAAGCTTTTGACCGCAGACGCAGATCTTCCTCTGTACCTTAAAACCTTTTAAAGGAAGAAAATATTCAAGATGATCTCTTATTTTGATAGCCTCACAAAAGAAAGAGAAAAGAAACAAAATAGTTGTGTTTTTTTTTTTTTCCTAGGATGACCTTGTGGTTGGGAAGTGTCTTGGATTCCTTCCAGGTAGATTGTAAATGTTTTCCAACTTGTCCAAAATATTTATGGTAGTCCCCAATGCGCTCTTGCAGGTGGCCCCTTGTGCTGACTTGCATGTTGTCGTTTCTTTGAATGAAACGGCTAGAGAGATCCAGACTACAAAATGTATTCTTTTCCTAATAACAGCATTTCTGGTTTTGTCACCTGTTATTAAAAGATTTGTTATCACCAGCGGGGGAGGAATACCTAGGGTTTGGATGTATAAGGTAGCCAGGATTGTGGTAGAACCTAGAATACTTTCCCACAGGTACTTTGGATCTCAAACAGTTAAAAGAACTACTTTGATATAAACCTACTTTGAGAAAAGGATGATCTAATGTTTCATCTCAACTGAAAACTTCTCTCGCCCTACCAGCAAATCGTCTGAGACTTTTTTTGGAGAAGAAAGAGCATTACTGACAGGAAGCAAGAAAACGATCAAGGAAGGTCAGCGTAGAGAAGTAAACCTAGGCTATCGTTTTTGCCTCCCAAGGCTTCATACTCTGATATTACCATCAAATGGCAACAAGTTCCTTTTTCTGTTCTATAAAAACAGTATACCACTGCTATCCTTGTCTTCAGCATCTGGCATTAGCACTAAGTATATCCAATATTTATGGGGATTAATTTTACACTAGTGTAAACTTAGTTGGCTACGACTGGACTTCTAGATCAACATTAAACTTGCATCTCTGGAGACACTCCTAGTATCATTAAGGCAATAACAGAACTCAGGCCTTGCAAACCTTCTGGAAGGTGTTTCCTTACTCGTTTTTCTCCTAGGTAGTTACAATGAATAGACTCACATCAGCCTTGTGGAAAAGTATAACTTTTTTTTTTCTTTTGATTCTGTATTTCACTTTTCTATCCTCAACTATCTGCTGAAAGAAGCTGGACAGTTTTGGTTCAGTATCGAATTGTCTTGATATTCACAATGCTGGACAGGGCCTCACTATTCCATGTGTGTCAAATTAAGTTCAAGGAGCTAACTTGTCTTTGTAGACCTGCAAGTGATATTGGAAAGAGACTGACAGGCTTTTTGCCATCAGATGAACCCTGGGACAGTACGTTGTCATGCTTTCCTGGAGCTGGCTGCTACTAAACTGTGTTCCCATCACAGTCCTGTGGAATATCAGGTTTATCAACTAAATGACTTGAGTTACATGAAATTAGAGATCATCCCTTTGCTATCAAATCCCATTACTTTCCTTAAGATGGCTTAAGAATTGAAGTGTGAGCAGGATCTACCAGAAAAGAAAGAGTAGGGCTGGGGACGTAGAGAAAGGAGAGATGACTTAAATGAATTGCTGTTATCTTTTAGGCAGAAAGGAAGGATGCTAATGAGTTGGGCATTCTAAAGGAAACTTCAGTTATGCTGAGCGCACATACTTCTTCAGACAGCATTCAAGCCATGCTGTCAACTTTAATGTCTGTCAGAGAATGTTTAATGTAAACAGATGTTTTGTACAGCACTCGGAGTCATCTGGCTCTTCTTTGGTTACGTTCATACTGACACTCATTGTCTCATTACTGTTAGGAAGTTAAGCATTACATTTCACTGTTTCTGGAAAGGGGACATTCCTGTTAAAGAGATGAAGCCTTTGGATCTGTGCAGCCCATGTCGGTGGAAGCTGTATATGCTGCTACTTTCTCATTTATAGCGTTCAGAGGAAATAAAGGCTCATGGAGCATCAAAGAGGCCAGAATCTATGATCTTGACCTGGTACAAGTATCTCGTGTAGAAGTGCAAATTTTGACATTCCCTTCCCTCGCCTCTCTCCTCCACCTTCTCTGGGAAGCAACGCTAATTCTAAATTTTCATTGTGTGCTTTTTCTATATACTTCTTAACTTGTTAGGGTAAATGTGACTTCTCAGTAATCTAACAGTCTTAATGTGTAGAACTTTGCTTGGGGCAAGAAAGGAGGGAGGAGGAATTGTGATCCTTCTTGTTGGTTTTGGTTTTGATCAGATACCTTTTAGCAAAGTACGTGCCAGCTGACCAAGATAATGATATAGTGCTTTCCTTTTTACAGTTTGAAGATAAATCTGATGCGGTATTTGATATTACAGAGAAATGTAAGTATTTTTATTTATTTATATAAGGCCATACTTTCACAAAACATTTCTTAAAAGTATCATTGCTGCTGAAAAAGACTATCTTGCCCTTCTCCTAGCACTTGCTACTCATTCCCTCCCTGCATTGCTGTCCTGGTTGCAGCTGGGATAGAGTTAATTTTCTTCCTAGTAGCAGGCATAGTGCTGTGTTTTGGATTTAGTATGAGAATAATGCTGATAACACACTGATGTTTTAGTTGTTGCTAAGTACTGCTTATGCTAGTCAAGGACTTTTCAGCTTCTCATGGTCTACTGACTGAGAAGGCTGGAGGTGCACGAGAAGCTGGGAGGGGGCACAGCCAGGCCAGCTGACCCAAACTGGCCCAAGGGCTATTCCATACCATACGGCGTCATGGGCTGTATAGAAACTGGGGGGGTTGGCTGGGGGGCTGCTGCTCGGGAACGGGCTGGGCATCGGTCGGCAGGTGGTGAGCAATTGCACTGTGCATCACTTGCTTTGTATATTCTTTTATCATTATTATTATTATTTTCCCTTCCTATTCTCTCCTATTAAACTGTCTTTATCTCAACCCACGGATCTTACTCCCCCCCTCCCCGATGCTTTCCCCCATTCCACTGTGGGGGGAGTGAGCAAATGGCTATGTGGTGTTTAGCTGCCTGCTGGGTTAAACCACAACCATGGCCTTCTCCACACGTGCTACAAATGAGATTAATTGAAGTTAATGTTTTTTCTTTCTTTGGTTAGTTTTACTCTGTTCAGCTTCTGCTGCACTGTGTGGTGAGTGGGACAGAACTGTTTTTTACGTCAGCAATATTTTATCAGTAATGTTGACCTAAGAAGGCTTAAAGTATTCAAGGAATTGCGGCATCAGACAGATTAGCAAAGGAAACTTACACTTGTCCTTTGTTACATGTAAAGTTGGTGAACTTTCTGACTCTTTGTGTGTTTTTTTCTCCCTAGGTGGTGAAATTCTGGATGCAGAAATGTCTGAGGACACTGACCACAACTTAACACCTGCCCTCGACAGCATATCTTACGGAATACAGAATCGAACAGGATCTGAAAACTCACTGCTGGATGATGATGATGATGATTATTTTCTGAACTCTGGGGATCTTGCAGGCATACCTGTTGTTGGGAGTGACAACGAAGATGATCAAACTTTCACTCACTCTTTCTTCAGCGATTCATGATGAAGACCATCTGGAAGAGGGCAAGAGAGTTACAGAACATGAATTGGACAGTGAAAAAGAAATTCAGATTCAGAATGCAATCCAAAAGGATCTCACTTCACCGTTTGAGCAGGGCCCTGTATTTAAATCAATTCGAAAAGATTTTAGCATAACAAGAGATAATGGCAAAGAGACTTTTTCAGCAAAGGACAAGAATAGAGAAGGACATTTTCAAGAACGTGAAAAACGGTTGGAAAAAATCCCTAAAGATATGGATTCTAGATTGAAAAGCAGTTTTCTTGACAAAGCAGGTAACTGTTGACATCGTAGGCCTGGCTACCCAGCAAAGAGGAAGAAAGAACTAGACGGAAATTAGCAATAGGGCTAGTTATTAAAAACATCATCTTTTGAAGAGAATATGCATAACTTTATGTAGGGAAGCATTTTATAAAGAACCCTGTAACACAATGGACTCTGTATTAGGACTAGGATTTGCAAAAGGACCTGGCAGCATTGGGGGGGGGGTCTCATCCTCCACAGCTTGTTTCAAAGCCTCAACATATCCTTTGTTGTTGTGGTTTACTAAACCAAGCTGGGTGACAATTCGAGCTTCCTTTTCTTTTTTCTCATTGTTTTTTATAGACCTTGGAACTCCTCAAAAGAAAAGATGATGAAGTTTAGGTGAAGTTGGTGGCCAGGAAAGATTTTTTTGAACAAAGTATCAATTCTTCATTAGTGTATATGCATTTAAAGCAATATGCATTTCATAGTAGCATCATGGAAAGGCTTGCTAGAAATGGATTAGTGTCTGCAGGAAGTCAGCCAGGGAGTAACTTGAGATCTGCTTGTCCTGGGAGACTGCTCTCCTTCTTCCTCAGATACTTGTGTCTTTGACTTTGTCCAGCCAACATGGAGAGAACCAGAGATGCCTGTAATCCATTTCTCATTTGAGGGAGCCTGACAGTCACCAGTAGTGTTGCTGCCCACACGCCTGGTTTTGACTTCCCAGGCTCTGAAAGTTACAGTAGAGCAGTGAATGAAGGAGTTAAGAATAACCAGGCTGGACCATAAGATTTAATTTTATTCAGAAGACTGTATGGAGAGAGGGTAGGCCAATGAGTGAGAGCCTCCTGGCTACTTGTTCAGATTCACAGCTTACAATTCTCATATTTAAACTTCATATGTTTAGTAACAGCATCTTAAAATCAGTGCTTCCAGGTTCCACAAATGATAGAGAAACAATACGTATGTTTTTAAAATAAAGAAAAGCTAAAATGTCTCTTTATTTCTACCTTCAGGTAGGAATCAAGTAAAGAATATTTCTGTGCAAAAGATGTATTTCAGAAAATTGTAAATACCTACAGTTGTAAGATTGTGGCTGAAAGCTGTGCAGCCTCAGGTGGGGTAGTCAGTAATTGAAACAGCAATAGTAAATGCTGATAGGCAGCATCCAGTATCCAGGCAAATCCAGTATTTTTAAAAAGATACATGCTAAAAAAGCATAAGCTACTGTTTCTGAGAAGGGGGGAAGAGGCAAAAGACCAGAACAGCAAAGAAAAGGATGAAAGCTGTTGCTCTGAAAAATATTTCTGATTTAAATGTCGAAACATGGCAGAGTTCAGAACTCACTGGGGTGGAGGAAATTCTGAATGAACAATTCGCCTCAGAATTTTACAACCATTTTGCTGGAATGGGAAAATAATGACCCGATAGAAGAATAAAAAATGTCAATTCTCTTTAAGGATTACCGTCTTATTTGCAGGGAGGAGAAAGGGAGCAGTTTAATACTTCAGAGGTGCTGTCAGACTATGGGGTTGGGGATCAGTATGAGACTCTAGCTAGTTTTAAAGGAAATGCGTTGGAATCTGTATTCATTTATATTTAATGTATATGTTTTCCTCAGTTCATAATCAAGTAGAAGAAACATTACGGACGCAGTTAGCGCCACAAACTCCAGAAACTAACTTCAGGGTAAGCTATAGATCTTTCAAACACTTTTGCAAGTGCAGCGATATACTGGAATAATTCAAAATACGTATTTTGTATTTGAGTGTAAATTTGAGTATCAAGAAAACTGATCTTCTGACTCTTAGACATCTTTGCTACTTAAACAGTGCATATAAGTTTGTAAAATTTTGCTGACCCTCTCTTTGGATGGAGGATTCTTTTGATAGCCACTTTCATGTTCAGCATGGTCTGACTGACTGGTGAACCGAATCTAGACCTGGATGCATCCATCTGACCTGCTGCCTTTTTTCCAGATGAGACAGGGAACAGCTGTATCAACAGGAGACACTGCCCAAACAGCCGAATGCCCCTACTGACAACCAACTTAGAGAGCTGGGTGGCTTCTGCTTTGTCCAGAGGAGTGAAAAGGATTGGGGGTGGGATGGCAGAGGGTGCTGCAGGGAGGTAGAGGCAGCAGCTGCTGCCCATCATTTCTCCCACCTTCCAGTGGCAGGACCCATTTCTCTTGGTCTGCAACAGAAACTCCCCTTGGCAGCAGCCCAACTCCTAATGGCAGATGCAGGAGGGTGAATTCTTTTTCATATTATTGTTTCAGGAGTCTAGCTACCTATTTTCTAGTAAGGAATCTATTGGACAAGAGCTGGGGAATTCCTTTGCACCAAATATTAGAATTAAGGAGGAGCCTTTGGATGACGAATATGATAAAGCTATGGCCCCACAGCAGGGACTATTAGACAAAATTAAAGATGAACCTGATAATTCCGAGGTAAGTTTCCCATTGCATTTCTCATTTTGGTCTGACAGCTGACCGCATAAGCTGGACATAAATTCAGCAATTTATTTGGTTTGTTGACCGAAATTTAACTTGAAGAACATAGTTTAGTAGAAGGATTTCTCCCTCTTATACTACCATGAAACCCAAACCCACAACTTTTTGATGTCATTTTACCATGTTGCTGAAAATATTTTGTTTTTCAGTTAGAGACAAAACAAAGTGCTGTAAAACTCATTATTAAATCTGTGGCAATATAGACACTTTATCTCAACTCGGTCTCACTAGGAAATAAAATGTAAATCATGTTTTACTGAATATTTTGTGAGTTGTCATAGTTAGACATGTGTAGTTGAAACAGTGCTATTCCTGCTACTTCCCTCTTAAAAGTTATCTTTGCGAGCACAGTGGTTCGTTGTTTGTTCGTGTTTTAAATTAACACTTAGAGGTCTTACCTTAGCAAAATATTTAAATACGTACATGTCAGTGAAGTCAACTTAAGCATGTGTCAAAGTGACTTTCTCATTTGAGACTGACATTTTTTATGACGATCCAGGTAAAAGTTCGATACTTGCAAAATGGAGAAAGTCTGACCTATGGTTTGAGTGGTGCTGGGGCAAGGATTGCTGAGGTCTGCCAGTCTCTTTGCCACTGGTTTGCCGTGTGACATCAGGGAAATTATCCGTGTTGTAATTCCTGTCTCCTCGCTGCTATTATTTGGGTTACATGCCAAACTTCACATGCAGTTAAAGGCGTGCAAAACTTCCCAAAGGGATTCATCCCACTTGCATCAACGCTAGAGTGCTGGTATTCTTGTGCAGGCATTAGTTTTTCTAGCATCATTCTGTGTACTTCTGCTATACCTCTTCTCTCTGGGCCTGTCTTCCCAACATTTTTTCTTGTTTTCCCGTAATACTCTTGGCTTAATAAAATAAAGAAGTAAACTAAGTATTTGAAACTATTCAGATTTTACTGCCCTTTGATTTGTTCAGTGTCCATGAGATTGTTTGGGTTTTTTTTTTTCCTTAAGCGTATATAATGTCAAACCATGTGTAGGTTAGTTAAATCTGTCTATTCTTTTGTCCTCCCGAGATGGCATCTGCTGTGTGGATTTGTGGGGAATGCAATGCAAGATGTCTGTGGTTATCAAAGATCATATTAATAAGTAAAAGTGAAGACTTGAAGAATTTAAATATCAAATATCATATTCTTCAAAATATTAATTCCTGGAGTAAAATCCTGCAATTATCAACTCTGCCTGATACTGGAAAATTATGAGAACTGATGAAGGTTCATTTTGTTTTGCTTTAGATTGGAATGAATTGGGGGGAGAGGGGGGGAGGTTGGTTTTCTCATGCATCCTGAAAGATAAGAGCATTTCTTGCTGTAACCGATAGTTGGAGCTGAAGGTTCTTGGCTTTCAACACTGTTACAGTGCTGTGAAACTATGCTTGATCATGCACAGTTGATGTCAGGATTTGCCTCCATTTCTCTTACCAATATTGACTAAGGATAAAACTGCACTTAAAAAGGTTAAAAAACTGTATTTCTGTAAATAACTAGTTTCTAAATTGTAATATTAAAAAAAAAATGGTGCTTTAAAACCCATCATCACAGCATGCCTGTACACAGCTTAAAAACTTCTCTGACTTGAGTGTTTCCATCTGTTGGTTCACATGATGAACGAATACCATTGCCTGTTCTCCTGGGAAACCTGTTGAGAAATAGTTTGATTGTCCTTGTATAGAAACTTGTCATTTTCCCCCAGGAGTAAGAGAAGTGTTCAGTTTTAGCATATATTATGTGGATGTTAGTGTGTGATTTTAGGCAATGGCTTAAGATGAGGGAGCAGTCCACTGCCACTGAAAAGGGGGAGTTTAATTTTGCTTAGTGATTTTTTGAATTGGCTTACCTTGCAGCCAGACAGCAACTGTGAATTTAGCTCAGTCATAACATGACATCGTGCCCTCACTACTCTCAAATGACTGTAAGTAGGTTAAATCTTATCATCTCTGTAGTTCCAAGAGATTATGCTTTTCAGCCTATTAAGATTTACATGTAGAGTGTTACAAGCTGCTTTACGGTTCAGATTTCTAGGGAGAGCACGGGCAAGAAGTATGGTGTCAAAGTATGAATAGCCGCTGTGGAGTAAGCTCATAATTTATAGTGTGTCAGCTATTCCACAAGCTGACAGGGATATTCTGTAGGGCTATTCTCATCCTGTAGAAAATGTGAGGTTATTCCCCTCTAACTGAAGCCAGTCTTAAGTCAGGACTGTGATGGTCTGGTTCTAGTGGTGCCAGCTTTGATCTGCTGCAAAGCTTCACCATAGGCTCCTCCAAGGTACTTAACTCGTGGTTAAGTGCCGAATGCTTCTCGCCATCTAGGTCCCAGTCTTTATTTCGTTATTATCATCTATGAATGTGAAGATAAAGCTTGTTTCACAGAGTAAGGGCAAGGACTGCAAAGCTCTTCTAGATGGCAGGTTTGTGAGTGGAAAGCCAGGATTTCTCTTAAGCTTTGTCTGGCTGAATTCTGAGGTGGCTTGGAGCGCGGCTGGAAAGGAGAATGCACCAGGCGGCCGCGCTTTTCCATTTCTACACGATGTCCTCGGTTGTAGTTTGCTGTGAACCTCAGAGCAGGTTCTGTGTGTGGTGCTCATACAGCAACATCTGTAAACCTGGCCTTTGGAGCAGGCTTAGGAGACTCACTCTTGCCTTCCTGGACCTTAAAATTCAATACAGCATTAAGAATGAATGGAAATCATGTAACCTGTTATTACATGTGTGTATTTGTTCTCCTTTTCCTTTCCCTTTGTTTTAGGAGTACGGCCAACAGCCAAAAACTCAGGAAGGGGAGCTGAAAATCAGTGCTGTATTTTCAGTCAGTGGCAGTCCTCTTGGTAAGGAATAGGCAAGACTAACTTTATTTAAATCTGTTGTAATATTTCACCTTTGCAAACAGTCTTGCAGGTTATTCTGCATTTCATTTGCTATGTCTGACCCCAGTAGAAAAAAAAAGAACTAGTTTGTTTTAGAGACAATGAAATTCAGAGATTGAAAAATAATTGTATTTTTGAGTCAAAGGAAAATTGAATGTGAAAGTGATGTTAAAAGTGCATTCTCAGTCTTAAGAGTAGTTGAAACAATCTACTATGCAGAAAACCAGCACAGGGCATGTGTTTATGGAGAGTTCATCTGCTATTTAATTCTCCCTTAGACCCTGACAACCCAAATGCAGGCACAAAATTTGTGCTTGCCCCCTGCACAAAGTGAATTATGTGTAATACATATATAACAGTTACTCTGTGTTTTCTCTGTGGTTTTTTTTTTTTTTAGCTCCACAGCTGTCATCAGGTTTCCAGCCTGCTGTGGCATCCTCTGGCATGAATAAAATGCTTCCTTCAGTTCCAACCACAGCTGTTCGGGTTTCCTGTTCTGGCTGTAAAAAAACCCTGCAGAAGGGGCAAACCGCATACCAGAGGAAAGGCTCTACCCAGCTCTTCTGCTCCACACTGTGCCTCACTGGATACACTGTTCCAGCTTCTCGCCCACCAGCTTCTACCAAGAAAACCTGCTCAAGCTGCTCAAAGTAGGACAGCGTTTTAATGTGTTCTACTAATAATTGATGTTCAAGCAGATAATGAAAGGCTTCAGCTCTCTTTTTACACAACATGCTGTGTCTGTAATGCCCACTTCTGTTACGCTTCTCGTCAAAAAATCATGGTCAATACCGTTACTTGTTAATTGGTCTGTCCGCTTTCAGTTCCATTTCATTAATCGGATTTTACATACGCATAGATTTAAAAACATCTGTTGTGAAATGTGCATCTTGGCTTTTTTTACTTGAAATGGGCCAAATAATGAAAACTGTATTTCAAAAGGTACTGTACTTTCCTGCCATTTTAAAATGTTGCACTGTCAAAACCACTAACAAACCACAATAACCACCACATTTTCAAAAAATACTTTATGTATTCTAGATGAAAATAGATTTACTGAATCCCATAAAATGAAATAAAACATAATATATTTGAGACAGAATATATCCTTATATTCTAAAAAAAAAAAAAAATTAACTTTCCAGTCTGGCTCCATTCTTAGCTTAGATGCTGTAGGTTTTAGCTCTTCAAAATATGTCACTGCTGCTGTTACTTGATGGTGGCTAAACCTTTGTAAGACGTAGAGAAATTAAATTTATTAAGAATTGAGTTTTTCAGGTAGTTGGGGTTTCAGCATCTGAATCAGTTACTTTCTGCCTAGGCCTAGAGTGGAAACGCAAGGTTTGCTTTTGTGAACCTGCTTGGAAAAAATTCTTTAGAAAAGAAGATCTGCATTTTCCACAGTCCTAATGGAAACACAGGCCTGAACCTTTAGCTCTAAAAACATTTTAATTGTTGACATTTTTTTTTCATTTGTATTATTGTCTCCAAATTAGCAAAGGGAGACCTTTGTGACTAGCTCTTTAAGATGTCGTATTACTATACCAGAACTTGAGGCAAATAAATAACTTTGCAGACTGATTGTGCTACGGTCTGTTTATAAAGGAAAATTATTCATATGTATTATTTTTAGTTATGAAAGTTACTTTGCAAAAGGAATGCTGCTTTGTTCATCACTTCTTCAACACCAAATTTATTACACTCGGTTTTACAAGGTCAGCTGAACTTAAACTTGAGACTTCAATTAATTATTCTTTTCACTTGCTGTCTCAGTGTCAAAAGGCCTTGTAATAAAGTTTAGCAGTCTTGGCTGGAATTTGTATTTATTCTGCTGAAAAATGGTTTACCTCTGACAAGATGAGAAGGAGGCATCCTTCCAACCAATAAAATTATATAAATCTTTTCTCTTAGTTTTTTGACTTAGGGGCTTTGAAACTTTTCTGTGAATGACTGTTTCAAAAGAGAGAAGAAATAAGGAGAAAGTTCGGTTTGTTAAATCCAGGAACAAATAAATAAAACTGTAGATGGGAGATAAGAGGTGGAAAGTTACAGTGCTAGTCAGACTGTTTTGAACTGAACTAGATGGTGATTAGAAATTGTGACCTTCCGTTTTTCCCTTTTTTTTCCCCCACTCCATTATGATTGGTATTTTCATTGTTAAAGGGAATTATTCCACATATCCTGCTTTCTAATTCTTTTTTTATTAAAGACTGTGCCAAGAGAGTTATCTTTTCCCAGTTCCTTTTGAAAAGATTTGATGATACAGCTTGATATATTTATAGGCCACTCCTAAGCCCATCTACAAAATGCTTCACAAAGTATCTACTTGAGAATTGTACTTCTTAGCTATTTTCCTAATAGGAAAAGAAAAATGAAGTCAGGTACTTACATCAGCAAAAAGAAAAGCTGTAAATTAAATTAATCCACCCTCTTCTAGAGAACGTTTAGTCTGCAGAAAAAGAAAGGACAGCAAGTTGACATGAAATCAACATTAATTCTTTATCTCTTTGTTTGTTTTTCTTTTTTCCATAGAGACATTCTAAATCCAAAGGATGTAATCACTGCCCAGTTTGACAATACAAACTCCAGTAAGGATTTCTGCAGCCAGTCATGTCTTTCTACATATGAACTGAAAAGGAAACCTGTTGTTACTATTCATACTAACAGCATTTCAACCAAGTGCAGCATGTGCCAGAAGAATGCAGTGGTAATTGCAAACTCCTTTTTCATTTGAATTTCCTTTAGATCAGGACAACTTGCTGTCTCAGAGATGAACATACATATTCTTTCTACTCTTGTTATATAGTCTTTCTTTTCTTTCAGATTAGACACGAAGTGAATTACCAGAACGTTGTACACAAGCTCTGCAGCGATGCCTGCTTCTCCAAGTTCCGCTCAGCTAACAACTTGACCATGAACTGCTGTGAGAATTGCGGAGGATACTGCTACAGTGGCTCTGGCCAATGTCACGTGCTTCAAATAGAGGGACAGTCAAAAAAGTTCTGCAGTTCAACATGTGTGACAGCATACAAGCAGGTATATTTTGACAGAATATTAAAAATATGTCTTTGATTAGATTTTGCATGTTTTAAGAAACACCCAGTTTATTAGATTATTTCAGTTACTATCTTGGTCTAAGATAACTCCTTTTGCCATTTGCTGCTTAATCTTTGCCCAGACATGTTGCTCTGTTTCCCTTAAAGCTGGGCCGGCTACCAGAGTATTCCAGTGTGAGAGGAGACACAGTGGAACCGTTCAGCAGCAGTCCACTGTGACTTTTTTCAGCCTTTGAGATGTTCCCTGTTTGAGTGTTCTCTATTAAATTGTAGCATTTGAATTAAGTGGAGAGGAAAAGTAGTAATTGGTTGATAATGCTGATTTTAATTTTTAAACTTTTAATATTTTAATTGTTATTATAATGGAGCCTCTTAAAGAGCTGAGCAGTTGAGAGAACCTTCATTTATTATAATAGGTCAATTACTTTTGACTGACTTATTTTAATGCAATTACTTCAGGAAAAATTGCTTTCTGATAAGATAGTTTAACTTCATTTTGTGACTTGACTCTGCTGCCCCATTGTTCAGGCCACTTAAGCCAAGAAAGACCTAATGAATTAAAAAAAAATCTGGTGAAAGTATTTCATCCAGGAAATTACCTACAACATTAGTTGTCCTCTGAAACAAATCTGGAAATTAAATTAAATAAGCTGGAAAGGAGAGAGATTTCATGCTGCTTTTGCATCTCACATCAAAACCTCATATATGTTAGTCTTCCTGAAAATACAGTATGTTCAAAGCTTATAAGTCTTATCTATTTTTTATTGATTTTTAAACAGCATTTAACTCAATTGTTAGATACTTTCTGATAGTTTCTGAGGTTTTGTGGGTGAGAGAGGAACCTCTTTCCATTTCTTTTCTCATCTGTTAAATGGGAATATTGCTTATAAACATAGCTTGATGTATTAAAAATCATAAGTGAAATGTTGCTTCTCGGCAAAAATGTTGAAGTTGTCTGATGCAAGGTGCTTGGTGCGGACTATTACAACACATAGCGGTGTTTGCACTTGGAGGCCTTTGCCCTGACAGCCTTGGTACTGTCAAACTGGCCTGCAAAGGTAGCGCTTACCCTGACTGAGAAACAGCCCAAGGCTCAGGTGGTCAAAGTGTGAATATAGCAAGCATACTGGAGAACCCAAATAAGTGTATCTGCATCATAAATAATACAGCTGTAAAGTAACTGCTGTTTCAAGTGCACTGGCAGTCACTTCTATACGTTTTATATGTTAGTGATTAATTTCCAGGTTAATAAAAATACTAAGTTTCAAATGAATGACCGATTTCCGTGTTTCCACAGAAGTCAGCTAAAATTACACCTTGTACACTGTGTAAATCTTTGAGATCTTCAGCCGAGATGATAGAGAGCACAAATAACTTGGGAAAAACTGAACTGTTTTGCTCTGTTAACTGCTTGTCAGCGTATAGAGTGAAAATGGTTACTTCTGCAGGTAACTTTGTCCTTTTCCTTTAGAAGCATAATTTCATGTAGCTCATATCCAAACTTAATTTGTCTTGAAAGTTAAGGCCGGTATTCTTTGGCACTGCGGGGGGTGGAAAGTGGCTTTTTTTTTAAAGGGAGGTGCTGAGATGGGAACATAAGGACTTTCTACCGTAGGTAAACCTAACAGTGACAGTACAGCCATTTCAGCTTTTTTCTGGAGAGCTTAAACATGATAATAAACCTTAATCTATTTTCTGCTCTCGCAAGTGCAGCTGGTGGGTTTCCCAGCTAGACAAATCCACTTCTGTGGACATATGCCATACCACCGCTGTGACTGTTCTGCCCCTTGTTCTCCAGGGTGATTAGCTTAGTTACCTCTGCCTAATGTTGCATTGAGCTAGGCAAACATATTCTCAGCTATTTTTCTTGTAATAATAGAAAAATGCTTACTGACATCCTAGGGATACTGGGAGATTAATTAAAGGATCTGGCAAGCAACAGGCACTGCAGCTGCAGTGTCTGCTTCTGAATCTGTAGAAACTTTGTCTTGGGCTTCTGTGTGTACCTTGGCTTGTCATTCAGATTCTCTGTTTTTGTATGCACAGTGCAAAATTACCTGCAATACAACTTGATGTTGCATAAATCACTTTTTCTTCTCTGTTTCACCCTCAGGTGTTCAAGTTCAGTGCAACAGCTGCAAAACTTCAGCAAACCCTCAGTATCACTTGGCTATGTCAGATGGGAGCATACGCAATTTTTGCAGCTACAGTTGTGTGGTAGCTTTTCAGGTGTGACATCTAGGATTTCTTCTTAGCTGAATTAACAGCATAATAAACTGATAGTGTAAATATCTGGGATATCGGGTAAAATATGTAATATTGTAAAATAAAGTCTGTTCCTCATTTTGTTTTCCTGCAGAATTTGTTCAACAAGCCTGCAGGAATGAACTCCTCAGTGGTACCTCTGTCGCAAGGTCAAGTCATTGTAAGCATTCCCTCGGGGGCAACAGTATCGGCAGGTGGCACCACCTCGACCGTGTCCCCCAGCTCCATGAGCAGTTCAGCTGCAGCTGGTCTACAGAGGCTGGCTGCCCAGTCCCAGCAAGTCACTTTTGCCCGCCCTGTTGTAAAACTCAGGTGTCAGCACTGTAACAGATTGTTTGCAACCAAACCAGAACTGCTTGACTACAAGGTAATAAAGATCACATCTTTTCAAGCTCGTATTTCTAAACAGAAACCCAAGAAATTGTAGCTTATATGCAACGGTGTGTCAGTACTGCTCTGTTGCTTACTATGACCTGCTATGGAGGAATTTGGAACTGATTTTGGTATCATTTAAACATTATCAAAATTAATACTGATACTAGCTCTTTGATCTTAAAAACAGAAAAAAAAACCCCTCGAAAAAAACCCAAACCCTATGATTGCCTGGCTAGATAAGCACATTCCTGATTCTTGGTCGCAGAGATGATCCTTTTAATTCCAGGACAAAGCACATTTATGAGGGCCTTCTGCAGAAAATTGTGCTATCTTTCTTATAAAGCTAATGGGGAGACTTATTCGCTAGTGCTGTCTGTTGTTGATTTCCAAGGGCATAAATACGCTTCTGAGTTTTTATTAACAGTTAAAATGTATTATCTGGGATGTGAAACATTGAAACCAAAATATTCTGGCTGTGTTGCAGGGTAAAATGTTCCAGTTTTGTGGGAAGACCTGCTGTGATGAATATAAGAAGAGGAGTAGTGTAATGGCAATGTGTGAATACTGCAAAATTGAGAAAATTATCAAGGAGACAGTGCGATTCTCAGGCATAGATAAGCCATTCTGTAGTGAAGGTAAGAAAGGGCAAGACTGTGTCTCAGACAAATCACGTCAGAAGTGTTTTGCCTTAATGTTCTTGGTGATACTAAGAGAAACCTAATCAGTTTAGGTTAGAAAACAGTTTATTAGGTTTAGAAACACAGAACTTTGTTCACACTTTACATTTTAATTGTATGTTTCAACAAATCATTACAGACATAATGAAATATAAGAACTAGAAGTGCCAAGCGAATGTCATTTTGATATTGAAGGATGCTTTTGTTTTCTTGCTATTTTCTCTTCTTTTAGGTTGTAAACTGCTCTATAAACATGACTTGGCTAAGCGCTGGGGAAACCACTGTAAAATGTGCAGTTACTGTTTACAGGCTTCCCCCAAACTGGTCCAGAATCACTTTGGGGGGAAAATGGAGGAGTTTTGCTCAGAGGAGTGCATGTCTAAATTCACAGTTTTGTTTTACCAGGTAAGCAATATTCTCGCATAGCATCCTCTAGAATATAAACGTGTTGGCAAAAGAACCTTTGTCCATTAGGAGCTATGCGAACTACCTGTTCTACACAGTTGGCTTCTGTGTCCATGGGATATATTACATGTATGTGAGAGAAGTAAATCCTTCTTAACTTTTGAGTACCAGTTTTCTATATAGAGAAAACCTAATAAGGGTCGTGGGAAGACAGATACTGAATGTTCTGCTGCTTTGTGTTACAGTGCAAAAATGATGCACTCTTGCAGATTTCTTTACACTATTATTTGCTGAGCAGGGTGCAAAGATGTTTTTATACACATACTCTTTGTTGCTGTTTACAAGTGTGTTTAATTTCTCCCTTGCTCTGTTTTCCTAGATGGCAAAGTGTGATGGTTGTAAGAGACAAGGTAAACTCAGTGAGTCCATGAAATGGCACGGGGAGATCAAGCATTTTTGCAATCTGCTTTGTATTCTGTTGTTCTGTAATCAGCAAAGTGTTTCTGACCCTCCACCCCCAAACAACACAGGTAAAACAGGCTGGGAATAGTATTGCCTTTTGGTGTGCATGATAGTGATATGAACATTTATTTGGAAACTCGATTCAGTGAACCTTTTGAGATATATCCTCTGCTGGGGGCTGGCCCATTGCCATTGAATGGGCTCAGTTTTAGATCTCTCTCTTACTTCAGACAATTTCAAACTTCTGCAGGTATGAAATGAGATTGCTTCATATACCAAACTGAGATCGTGATTTTAAAGAAGATGAAACAAAAGCACTTACTTCTCAATCACTTTCATAAAACGAAAGCCCATTTTATTAGGGTAAAATGTACTGATATCTATTGAAGACATGTTAAATACCTAGCTTGTCTCCTGTACTTGATAAGACATAGCCAGACACAGTAGAATGTTAATGTCCATTTAACAAAAAAAAAATCAAGTGGTGAAATTAGTAGACTTAACGGTTGTAAATACAGACTTCCATGTATGAACTTAAAATAGCTAGTTCTGTGTAGTCTGTAAGCATATGAAGGGTTACCATTTCTGTGTCATTAAGTGTTGATTCTTCAGGTGTCAATGCCAAGATTAATGTGTGCCATAGCTGTTTCCTTGCTCATTATTTTAGCAGATGGAATGGGAAGGAGGGTGGGAATGAAGCCCACAGGAATAGGAACTGTGAGTTTCTGTAGGGAATGAAATGCAGAGGGAAGAAAGGAAGAAAGGCCCACAAAGACAGGAAGAGGAAGCGAAACAAGGGGCAGAAATAGCACTGATCCTAAAGAGGGGATAATCTCCCACTGAGTGATGGTGACTGCAACAGTAAGGTACCCAGCAAGCAATAAAGAATATTAATTGAAAGTTTGTAATAGGCACCGAGCCATATTCAACTCTTCAACTTTGTGCACATCTGCTGCTTACATTGGTGGGAGTTGTTTTCCCTGGTTAATATATAAGTAACTTTATACTTGCAATAGCTATACCATGTGACATTCCTGGTCCTGTGAGTACATCTGGCTGTTAGTAAGGATAGCAAAATGTACGGCGGGCCTGCTTCTCCAGAAGTGGGCCTGCAACTTCAGCTGAGGCGAGTGTGCAAGCCTTTGCAAAACTGGCCTCCAGGCAGCTCTCTGAACTGGGGGCTGCCAGGGTAATGGAGTGCCTCAGAACAGTATTTTTTGATGAAATGTGGTAATTTACGGTAACGTGGTAATGAATGGTGCTTTCAAATGGAAAGAACCTAAGAATTCCTCTAACTGCAAGAGCCTCATACAATTCACCTCATTCGTTATTTGTCAGGATCTCAACTGTCTCCCGTACTATGTATGTTTGGTACTGAGCACAGTGAAGCATCCAGTCCTCTTGTCTCCTGAGCGCTGCTGTAATACACATACTGTTACAAAGAGAAAGCTGCTTTCATGCTACAGTGAACTTCTGAAATGTTTCAGTGGCTGGAAAACAGCTTAAGTTTGCTTGTGGAACCAGCTCCTATTTAAACTGAAATGCAGCAGCGTGACACCTACATTCCCTTCTCATACAGCAGGCTTCGTCATTTGGAGATAAATCTGGAGGGTGGGTGTTGTTTCAGAAATGCTGTTTTATATATTATCTTATTGCTTATTTTAGTTTCCTTCTGTTCACCCTGTCCAGCAAACCTTTCTATGGCACCAGCTTCCTCATCAGGCCCTCCTTCTTTGAGAAAGGACTCAACCCCTGTTATAGCAAATGTGGTGTCCCTTGCAAGCACCCCTGCTGCCCAGCCTACGGTTAACTCCAACAATGTTTTACAGGGTAAGACTGCTGAATATGATGCCTGTATTTTTAAATCTCTATTCCTGAACACTTGTATTTGTTCAGGGATCTTTTCCACTCAGGGCAACAACCACTTCTTAATTATGCTTCACATCAGTGCAGATGGTTACAGTTTTGTCCCTCCTTTACCTAGGTATAAATAATGACTTAAATTTATGTACATACACCAGGAAATGGGGTTTAATGGGAATTCCTTTTCTTGACCTTGGCAGAATATGGGTTATGGTCCTTGATGATGAGTAGACAGACTATTCTTGTATATTTTTTCTTCACAGGTGCAGTCCCTACTGTGACAGCAAAAATAATAGGAGATGTAAGTTTTACGAGAGACTCTTTTTCTCACTTTCGCCCAGATTGTGTCAATAACAAGTAAAGTATCCAAGAATTTTGCACCATCATTTTGTAACTGCTTTTCCTGATTGTGATTGGGATTAAAAATTCATCCAGCTTGCAGATGCATTTCTTAAAATGGATGGAACTTGTATGGTGTAAAAGTATTTTTGTGTCCACTGACAGATTGATTAGATGTTTTAAGACAAAGCTTGTCAAATTGCAGCTCTTGAGATGGCTGTAGTTCTCAAGCAATTCATGTGTGGCTTCTGTACTTGGGGCTACCTTTTGTGGCCAGAAGTGGGATGTGATGTTGAAAGGGCTGGCGTGGGAGGAAGGGGACCAGTGTGGGCTGCTGGGGCTGACATGACCAAGCTCTTGCAGCTTAGCTTTCCTTCCCCACTCCCTAGTAGTGTGGTAACGGAGCTGTGGGGAACCATTGTCACCGCTTATCTGTGAATAACTCCTAGAGTTCCTATTCATGGGCTCTTTGAGGTATGTGGTATACATCTTGTAGCTCTCTTAAAATATGCAGATTTTATTATGTAGCTCTTAGGTTCTGGAAGACTGTTACCCTTGCTTTTAGCTGAAGTGTCATTTGTGGATTAGAGTATGAATTTTCCCTAATGAAATAGATCCTGTTATTTGAATGCTTGACTGAAAGTTACAGTTAGCAGGACATGAAATTAGTACAACCACAAATAGTCAATCTGCGTGTAATCAGGAAGTGGTACTGTTACTGCCAGCATTTGTGTTCATTTTTTACTTTTTTTTCTTTTCAGTGGTTTCACATCAGTTTACTAAGTTTTTTGGGTACCTGTATGAGCCAAACTTGTAGTCATCAAAAGTATCTTAACATAACTCCTCTTTATATCTTTGCCATCAGTAAGATTCCAAGATCAAAAGTTTATAGAGGTTATTTGACTACAGAAACCAAACATTCTTGCAGATTTGTTCACTGCACTGTTAACAAACAAAAAACCAAGCCTATTGTTTGATTAAAATAAATTGAGGTGAAGACCAGAAACCAATGAATACATTAGCAAGCTGGTTTTGCAATCGTTTTTAAATCATCATTTTTATCAGCAAGGAGAGTTTTAAATTGTTCAACTTCCCATAGCAGAGAACAAATACTAATCTTATGATATCCTTCAAGCCAATACTGACTCTGCCCTCATATGTATTTTTCCAAACAGGCTAGTACTCAGACAGATGCCCTAAAGCTGCCACCATCACAACCACCCAGGCTTCTGAAAAACAAAGCGTTATTGTGCAAGCCAATCACACAGACGAAGGCCACCTCATGCAAACCTCACACACAAAACAAAGAATGCCAGACAGGTATGTGTCTAATCTCGTACACGTTTTATAAAAGTCTATATTACAGCTGAGAGAGTAATGCATGATTTAGATAACAGAGTATTTTTTAATATATTTTAAAACTTTAAATAGTTTTCAGATTGTCGTATGGTATTTTCCAAGTAGCAGTTTGCCTTACAGATGTAAAACATTTGCTAGTCTTTGAAATCCCTAAAGCTTCATGTGTCATGAATCTTGAGATTGCTTTAACTCATCTTTAGCATTCTGCGATGATCTTAACTGTGGAAAACGAAGTGCAATGGTTAAGTGACATGCAAAAAGCTACGGAGGGAATTTGTTTCCCTCAGGGCAGAATTTGTGAGGTTCTTAGCTCTCACAGCACAAGCCACAAGAGCAGACTCATTTTAATAAAGGCATGATTTCTGAAAGATACTCTCACTTTCCTTTAATTTTTACATACAGATACTAAGAACCTCTGAAAATTAAGTCCCTATTTCTAAGACAATTTAATTAGATTGATATTTGCTCTAAGCTCCCTCTGTGGACAGGAGGAAACAGAAGCACCTTCAAAGGCTATTACATAGTCCAGACTGTCACTGAGGAGTGGTTTTTTTCATCATTGTTACTATAGAAGGAGGGTATCTAGTGTTGAGGTAAACCTCTCAATGGGGAAGATGAAGTTAAGTGGAAGATTGTAGTTATTTAATGGTACCTTCTTACGGTCTTGTAATTACTTGTGAGATAATTGCAGTAACACACCGTTTACCTGGATGTATTTAATACTTACTTCCACTCTTCCCTTTCAGCATTCATGTATATGGTCACAGTGCTGTTTATTTCCAAACTGTAGTATTAATACTTGTTACAACAATGCTGAAGTGAAAGATGACTATGAACCAAGACACAGTACTGTGCACACTGAGTTACAAGCAGAAGTCCAGACAATTATCACGGATGCTCTGAAGTGTACTGGATGGTCATATGGTTAAAGAATTTTTGTTTTGTTCTATTTTTGGTATAACAGAAGAAGAAGAAGTTGTTCAACCCCAAATCATTGTGGTACCTGTTCCTGTACCAGTGTTTGTGCCAGTACCCCTTCACCTGTACACTCAGTACACGCCAGTTCCGCTTGGGATGCCAGTACCTGTAAGTTATACTTCAGTTCACTAGAGAACTGGTTTACAGTCTTGTTTCTGAACAGCACACAGAGCATTTCCCCTGTGTATTTGCTGTTCCCCTTCACCCCCAAACAAGCTCTAACATTTTCCACATGTTCCACAGGTACCAGTTCCCATGCTCTTCCCAACTACCCTGGATAATGCTGATAAAATCATTGAAACTATTCAGGATATCAAGGAAAAGATTCCCACAAATCCATTTGAAGCTGATCTCCTTCAGATGGCAGAAATGATTGCAGAAGATGAGGAGAAAGAAAAAACACACTCTCATGGTGGTATGTGGTGTTTTTAAAAAGGAAACTAAATGCAGTGAGATGGAGGTCCTTTCATCATGGAAAATAGGTAGAGAAATAGATGTAGGGCCTATATTGGCTGCTTCCCAAGCATGCATGGCATGTTAAATGGTACTGTTGTCTTACCAACATTTATTTTCCACAATGAAAGTGTTCATGCAGGCAAAGTGCCAACCTAGACAGGACTATAATGCTTGTGTCATGTCTTAGCTATTTTGATGACTTATTCTTTTAAAATGAGGAGGCCTTCTGGGAATTCAGCTGAACTGTATATTTGGAGATAATTTAGTCTCTGTGTACAATATTCTGTTCTTTGTTTTGTAAATGTTTTCTTTTAAGATTCATTTACTTTTCCTCCATAGTTCCCATCTTGGATGCTGGTTATACTTGCACCTTTCTGAAGCTTTTGTAATTTCACAGAGGTTTATCAGTCAATATTCAGTAGAGCTATGCTTAGCACAGAACCCACGTTAGATCCTGAGCACTGACAGTGGTTTAAATGTCTTTGCATTCCCTTTCCCTGATCCTAGGTACTGATTTGACTTTTGTTGACAGTAACAGATTGCTAGAGGTAGTAATCTCCAGATCAGTATGTCATGCATTAGCAGAAGGAGTCAAAATCAAGGAGACAGAGCAGCTGCTTCACAAGAATATTTTCCTATCAGGCTTTTTATGGTGGATTCTTCGGAGGGTGATGCAGGTTAGAATGTGTTGGATAGTGATCATCCCATGTAATAAAAGTAGAACAAGCTGAAAAGAAGTGAACGAAATATCTTACTTGTCTACAGATGACTCAAATAACAAACACAGAGAGATGGAAACATTTGCAAAAGCAAACGTGTTAGTTCTGCATTTCTGTTTCTCCCATAACAGCATGACCAAGGTAGAAAGCTGTTAGGAGGATTTTAGTGGAGAAGATGCATCGTGTGTGTTAGAATTATGACCTAATACATAGTTTTTTGGTGTTCAAAGTGTTTTGTATTAGTTACGTAAGCTGTCATTCATTTGTAAAAACAGATTTCCTTCTTTTTCTAAAGGATCTCAAACATCTGAGCATGAGCTCTTCCTGGACCCTAAGATATTTGAGAAAGGTCAGTTGGATTGTTTTTTGCAAATGGATTTTGATCCTGCTGTATCTTTTCTTGCAAACTCCTCTTTTTGTCTGCCCTTTCCTATAGCACATGGTATATCTGATCACTCTCATTACAGACCAAGGTAGCACTTATAGTGGAGATCTAGAATCCGAAGCAGTGTCCACTCCACACAGCTGGGAGGATGAGTTAAATCACTACGCCTTACGATCAAATGCCCTGCCAGAACCAGATCCAGAACTGAAGCAGTTCTCCAAAGGTGATGTGGAACAGGACCTGGAGGCAGATTTTCCATCAGGTCTGTATAATGTGAAGAAAAATGCATTGTATAAAAGTAAGCACGATTTTCTGAGTAAGCATTGTACCAGCAGCCTGCTTGTGAAGGGTATGTGTTTTCATTTAGTAAAACTGGATATTTAAAGCTGCAGTGATACATCAGCTTTACTAAAAATTACTATTTTAAAAATATTATTGCTGTCTTTAAAGACAGCGTTCTACAGAACCCCTGACAGGAGTAGCAGGTAGTCTTGCTTGACTCCTTTGCATTTATCACTTCTGTGTCCCTAGGTGTAATCCAGGCTAGTGGTGCAGAAGAATATAAGTTTGCCTGAATAAGTACACCCGCTGTGTGTGGGGGGGCTTTCCTGCTCTTCCAAGAATTTACTTTCTTTGTACAGAAGGTACATATATTGCCTAATTATTCAAAGGTAATGCATTATTTGAATATGCAGTGATTGCCAACTGTAAGGTATTCCATAGTATCTAAGTGACATTTCTACCTGAACTGTTAAATCATATAATTAAACTCTTAATGGTGTTGATTTGACTTCAGACTCATTTGACCCTCTCAGTAAAGGACTGGGTTTGCATTCACGTTCACGAGCAAGACGGAGACATAGAGATGGCTTCCCACAGCCAAAAAGACGGGTAAGAAAGTACTTCTTGAACAGAAGTTCCTTGCATTTGAAGTAATAACGTTACATGCATGCTCATTCTCAGAAGTAAAAAAATACTGCTCCAGGGTGAAAATGAGAATTTGATTTAACTACGCTGTATATTTTTTCCTGTTCTGCTATATGAGATAAGATTTTCTCCCCCTTGCCCCCACATCTAGGTAGAATAAATGCTCTTTTTAGTGCAGAATATTTTTTAAATGTGTATCATTTCAAAAAACTCCAAAAGAGATGTCTTTTAAGTAGTGTCATAACGTACAGGAAAGAATAAATTTCTTCTTGTGTAGCTAGAGAGGGATATATTTCTGTGCATATTTATCACAGTGAGAATTACTGTATTTTATTGCACCTTTTCTGTAAAATGTGGTTAATATTTGTCCACATATTAAAAATACATCTATATCTACTCAGATTCTGTCATGAGAGTAGGATTTTGTTATCATGTCAGCATAATGGCCTTTTTATGTGAGATCAAGTTAAGCATCCATAGATGAAGAGTTTATTAAATGTTTATTTGTTTTGATTTGCTTGTTTGCATGTAGGGACGGAAGAAGTCTGTAGTTTCTGTAGAGCCCCGGAATCTGGTGCAGGGCTCCTACCCAGGATGCTCTGTTTCTGGGATGACCCTAAAGTATATGTACGGGGTAAACGCCTGGAAAAACTGGGTCCAATGGAAAAACGCACAGGAGGAACAAGGGGACCTGAAGTTTTCAGGTAATTTTTTCTCTCTCAGTGGAAACAGAAATACTTAGTTGAACAGCACTTGGCATGATATGTTGTTCAAATAAAAATTAGGATTAGATATTACTGAGTTTTAAAATACCCATGAGTGGAGAAAAGATTTTGTGGAATACTGTCTTACGTCTTTTCATGCATTTAAAAATCATAGCTATTGCATTCTTAATTGATCTTACCTATTAAAACAGGCTCTAAAATACCAGATTTCTTTTCAACATTAGAAATGTTAGTCTTTTAACCTCCACTTCACGTTCATTTGCGCGTAGCAATTCTTCATTTGTAGAAGAGGTGCTTTATGCAGCCGCAGAGCTTTATTGAGCTTATTATCAAGCCATAATTCTAACTTGACAACACCAACTTGGCCCCATCTTTTTAATCTGTAGCTAACGCTTTCACAAAGTATTTGTCAGCATAACTGTTTGCTGTAAAAAAATCGTGTGCTACAACCTTAAAGTCTTAACACCTTATTTCTAGGCTTCATAGCTGGAAAGAAACTTTCCAAAAGTCTACCCATTCTGTGCTGCAACCTGCCTGGAACTAACTTTAAAAGGCATGAATTGTTCCTTGTGTCTCACTAGGGTGATAGATAATAATGACAATATAAATGTCACTTTTGTTTATTGTTCTGATTATGGATTATTTTCTTTTTTTTACAAAAGCACAGCAGTCCTGGGATTTGGCAGTGTCTAATTCCCCTTTTCCTTGGTCTCAAATCTGTCTTACATGCTTGCACTGAGAGTTTTGTGGGCAAATTTTCAGAGTCAAGCAGAGAATTTAAGTTAGGAGTATAATTGAGCTTTTTGGGGATGGTGGGGAAGAGAGCAAACCATATTAAATTCTTCTGCAATGTAAAGAACTAAGTGTGGCAGGGCTTACATAAGAAAGATCTCAAAGGGGAAAATTCTAGTTAGAACGAGATCTGCTTTTTCCTCTCTTATGTGGAATTTTTGTTGCCATTACATGAGAACAGCTGGTTTTTGTTTCCCAGAAGAAAAGTAGTGACATGAGTTACTGTGTTTTCTTCTTGTGGCTAAGGAAGCAAATATTACAGTCAGTTCCAGGAGACTCTGTCCACCCTGACCCCTCCCAGAAAGCTTCCTTGCTTAGTCCCAAGCCGTCACTTTTGTAAGGTGTGGAGCAGCTGAGCCTGGTAATTTCATTGCAGAACCTTTGATCAATTCACTCATTTCTGAATCCCGCATATGGACCTTGAACTCTTCATTCCTTCTCCCTTTAAGCAGTTGAATATGCTGCATTCAACTAATGTCCAGAACTCTTAGGAAATACTCAAGATCTGTCTCTTGCTCAGGATTCCCCTGAGTCCAGCCATAGAGGTGAAACCTATTAATCAACCCTACGCTGCCAGCCTTGAGTACGTGCAGCCGTTGCCATGCCACATCTTTGGGTTCAGCAAAATCCCTACCATTTAAATGTCTTAGCTTTAAATACCTGCGGCCTTATTACTCAGTTGCAGTGTTTGTACTGCCTGGACATGCTGGTGGTTTGGTTTCTGTTGGCCAAATCTTCATTTAATTGTTAGCCAACAGATAGGAAATAGTTCACAAGTTTAGTCATACAGGGTACTTCATGTATGAGATAGAAGATTCAATAGTTCTGCCTATATGAAATAATAAGGAATGTGTGAAGAATTAATCTGTTGAATTAAGTTGATTTTTCAAATAATTTTCTTTGCCACAGTTCGTCCTGTGAAACTCAAGGAGGACATTCTCTCATGCACTTTTGCTGAGCTGAGTTTTGGCTTGTGCCAGTTTATTCAAGAGGTGCGGAGACCAAATGGAGAAAAATATGATCCTGACAGCATCTTATACTTGTGCCTTGGAATTCAGCAGGTAACTCAGAGAATTAGGATATTGTTGAGAACGCACAAAACTTCCTTTGGTTATTTATGCTTTATATCCATAGTCCCACGTAGCTGCTTGATTTTTCTAGGAGGCAAGAATGTATCTTTTTTTGTGCTTTATTCTTAGTCTGTCTTAATCCCATATTTGACTACTTTGTCTGGACCTTTTTATGATCAGTGAACAGGCTGCTTCTGTACTTGGGAGGAATGTGGCGTGGAGGGCTAGGTGTTTCTACCTAGACACAAATCTTTGGGTTTGGTATCTTTTTTATCCTTTTCATGTATAGGACAGATTTGCAGAAAACTGAGTCTCCTCAGAAATATTTGCTTTATGATGGAAAGTTGTAGATGTAAGATAGTTGCACAATGCTCTTCTAATATGCAAGTTTACATGGAAGAGGTTACCCAGCAAAGATTGAGCTCCTTCATTGGCTAGACAGATACCTTTTGTGTTGGCAATATTTACGGAAAAAATACAATGGGGAGAATAGTATTGTAATTAATGAATGCTAAGAGTAATGTAATAAGTCCTTGCTTCCTGCCTTGAAACAGCTGCAGTACACACCTAGTATAATATTAACTTCTGTGTAAAACTCAATGTTCAGTATATTTCTGTTAGGGGCTTTTTTTTAGAGTAGCCTGTTTGTTCCTTTCCTTAAACACTCATTTGGAGATAAAGAATCAAAAGCTCCTTCTAATGTAAAACCTATCATTTGACTAGGCATGGAATTATCTTAATATTTTCTTTTCCTGGCTATGCTTGAGAAAAATGTGGAAAGAGTTAAAATTCAAAGTGCCAGTGATAAGGTCTAGGAGTATCAGCAATTTTTGTGTGTTCCAGTATTGACTTATTTGTTGATACACACTGCTGACTTGTAGAAAACTTTTTTTTAATTGCTGCTTGACAAGAATTTAAGGGATTTTTACATTGATGCTATAAGTCGAGCTATTTCAGCAGCCTAGCACTGGCCCTGTATCTCTTGTCAGGAGGTATTAGCATGTGAAGTTCTTTTCAATAGAAAAATACTCAGTAACTCTTCTGGTTTTTGTAGGCGCTTTTCCCAATAATATTTAACACTTAGAGGATGATGATTTTTCAGAAAACAGCTCTAGAGATTGGAATATTAACAATAATTCTTGCCTAGATCTCTCATTTCATACTGGGGAGGTCCCAGTCCCTGCAGAAAATTTGATTTGATATTTTACTGAAGATTTCAGCAAAGTGTTTTGGACCATAAGACACTGGGACATAAGAAAGGAAAAGAATCTGATGTCCTGTATCTTCTCTGCAATGTTATGTAATCACAAACTGTATGTCTTCCTTTTTTTCTCTCGTAGTACCTGTTTGAGAATGGTAGAATAGATAACATTTTTACCGAGCCCTATTCCAGGTTTATGATTGAACTTACAAAACTTTTGAAAATCTGGGAACCTACAATTCTTCCAAATGGTAGGACAATCATTTTGTTTTGTGTAGCTGCATGACAAAGCCGTATTATAAATTAATAGTTTCTCAATGCCATGAAGAAGAATGTGAGCTGAGGCATTCACATTAGTCTCCTCTTTCTCCACCACGTAATTGTTTGTGGTAGACTAGCATCATGGATTTTATGTCTGTCTCTACCAGCTACGGATTAAACTTAAATATACCTTTGCCTCTGATCAATCTCTCAACTCCTTTGAAAGAAAGGCTTCCCGTTCCTGTAGTCAACATGCTAGTTCTTCTCTTCCCTCAAGTTTTAGCTGATCTTTTTTGAATGCAGGTAGCCAGAATTGTATATAGTATTGGAGATGAGTTACTACAAATGTCGTGTACAATTGCGCTGGTGTTTACCTATTAGTACTGGAAATACTCCTGATAAGTCCGAAGATCACATTAGCAAATCATTGGAATCTTGTCTCGACTCCTCAATTCCAAGTTCTTCTTACCTCAGTCACTTCCAAATTAAGAGTTCCCGAATTCTGCAGATATTTTTAATTGGTCTTCAGAGTATCAGCAAAACTTGAGTGATCTTGGCAACTCTATACATGGATCCACAGCTGGCTTTTCATTTAGAAAATGAATTTTTTATGTAATACAGAAATAATCCAGTTACTTATAGACTGCTGCAAACAGTGATGGGGTTTTTTTCACAACAAATCTTTTATAAGCCCCCATATCTCCTTTTCCTAACTGGCTTTGATAATCATAATGGGCTGTTTGTGTATAAGGATGGTACATTTTAAACTCATGGTCCATGTCTTAGGAATTATACATTTTTGCAGTTGGCTGGCTGTGGTTTAATACGGTGAAATTAGAACTTAGTGAGATTCTGCTGGTGTCTGCAATCTTCCCTTATATCGTTCTCTCCATTCTTCAGGTACTGGAAGATCATGCTGTTCCACAGCTTGATTCTCCATGCTCCCTCTTATGTTCGTGCATGCAGTGTTCTTGGTTTTATTGGAATTACGATTGCTTATGATAGGTCTGAATTTGATCTGATATGCAGTTCGTTAATACAGAAGGTTAGCTGAAAGAGGATTTACATGCGTCTCTGGCAAAATCTGCCTACTTAATTTTACTCATTTCTGCCTTCCCACCCTGCTCATGTATGACGCTTTCATTGCTTTGGGATAATTCTGAAAATCTGCTAGATTAAACACAGCTTGTAAAAGCTGTTCATTTGTAACTGAATATGGGGACAGCCCTAAAATTACATAAATAACCCTCTTCTTTTTTCTTTGCCCATTGTTTCTAGGTTATATGTTCTCAAGAATTGAAGAGGAACACTTGTGGGAATGTAAACAGCTGGGTGCATATTCCCCTATTGTTTTACTGAACACACTTCTGTTCTTCAATACCAAATACTTCCAACTAAAGAATGTCAGTGAGCACCTGAAACTATCCTTTGCCCATGTTATGAGACGCACCCGAACTCTGAAGTATAATACTAAGATGACATATTTACGTTTTTTCCCACCCTTTCAAAAACAAGAGGTAGAATCAGGTGAGTGAGTGCTTTCTGATCATCTGAATTTTGGCAATCATATTTGTATTGTCTGCTCCTTTTTTTAAAAAGGACTGGGGAGAAAAATATGCAGTAAGCGGAGCTATGAATATGCTGTTATCCTGTACATTTTCAAAATTTTTTTCACTCTAGTAGGGTTTAAAGAGAAATTCTGCATGAGCCAAGGCATCCAGTAAAAACTTACACAACAGGTGCCACACGTTTAGCTGCAAATTTGTTTAATAGTCTTTTATAATATCTTAGGCTTGCATAAAGCTTTATTAACTACTGCATGAGTTAAAGGCCTTTTCTGAAGTCCTTTTCTCAGGACTTCATATTCTTGAGGTTCAGACCCTTATCGTGGCCTTCTAATTCCCAGATTTATTCTAGGTCTGTGCGGTGAACAAACAAGGCAGTCCAAATGGAGAACAGCAGTTTAGATGAAGCAAGGGGCTTGCACATGGGTAGGGACTTTCCTCTTGACCTCAGAGGCAAAGACAGGCAGATTTTTGTTCACAGTTATTTTGATCCTATTGGCTTCTTCAGTTAATAGTTCCAGTGTGTTAACATGAATTCTGCTTTATTAAGAAAAATTATATCCTCCGTATTTTTCTGCTAGATACTAGGTTTTATGGATTTTCTAGAAGAGGAATGTGCTGTGGACAGCCTGTAGCATATGCAATCTTTTGCACGTCCAGCAGATCAAACCAGTTGACTTGCATGTGGCAGATAATCAGTTCAAGTAGTATGTTCTGTGTGATGCAAAGTCCCATCACTAGGTGCTATGCTAAGTGATTAGGCCTTACTCTTGAAGGCGCTGTTTTTCACTGAACTTCTGTGATGCCGTTTTTGTGTATCCAGATAAATTATCTGTAGGCAAAAGGAAACGCAGTGAAGATGAGGAGATTCCAACAGCAGTGGAAATGGCTGAAAATACGGATAATCCCCTGCGATGTCCAGTCCGTCTTTATGAATTTTACTTATCAAAATGGTAAGTGACAGAACTTGATTTTTGATCTCTATGTAGACTCGAACAGGCATTTGGGCAAGAATCCCACTCAGACCTTTTGTGCCTGTGCTGTGGGCTCCTCCCTCCAGTTCCTGGTCCCTCAGTGTGAATGGAACCATGCCGACAGAACTTCCAGCATCAGCACTGCTGTTAGACTCAGCAAATAAGTAGTACTTGATACTGGTGTTGAGTCAAGAGTGGAGTACAGAGAGAGATGTATTCTTTAAATGCCTGTTTATGCATCCACAGGGTGTAAATGTAAATGGGGGGCATTACTACAGTGACCATGACATTCTCATCTCCCTTCATTCCCATATGGGGTCCTTCTTTTGAGAAGATTATAACTAATACCCTGACATCATGTTCCTTGTGAGAGAGCGTAGGAAAAGTGTGAATTAGGTAAAACTGCTGGTAGCTTTTGCCTGCTGACATGTGAGATTAACTTGTGCTTAGGAGTTAGAAAGGAAACTAGATAGCAAGGACATAGATATATATGATTTTGTCTCTCCTGTTTCTATATAAATTTCAGTTAAATCATTGAACAGGTGGAATATGATGTCCTTCTCTCTTCAAAGAAAATACACATGCAAAATGAAGCAGCATCTCATTAGTGTCAGCTAAAACTCAAATAAGTCATCCTCAAAAATGCACCTACTGAGCATGCTACAAATAGCCCCATTACTTAGGCAAAGGCATGCCTGGCAGCTGTCCTGACTCTCTGTCTCCCTCTTCTTACTTTCCTTGTAGTCACTTGCATATCGCTAGAAGCTTTTAGCTGTCCTTGGGCTGGGAAACCGGTTTTGCTCCTCATCATATATCATAGCTGAGCCCCTGCAGTGGTGCAAGCAGCAGTAAAAATTCACTTTGCTGTTTCAGTGTAAATATTCCAAAGTCAGGCAGGAAGGATTGTTGCTCTAGAGGACTTAGTGTCTTCCTACCAGAGCCTGAAGGCTGCCTCAGTCAGACGGTCAGTCTTTCAAGCAGATGGGCTTTCCATTCTGCACCATGAGCAGGCAAGCTAGGATTTAGTTTTGCTAGCCCTTGAACATTCCCTGTGCCAAAGTACACAGCAATTCTGGAATACTAGAACCAGTTGCATTCAGAAAGTGAATGTCAAATGCATCTATCAATCATATCAAGATGCTAGTACCATTAATTGGATGATACTATGATTGAAGAACCACACCTGTAAAGAAGTCGCTCTCATTTTCTTTGTTTCTTTATAAGCAACTAATTGCTAAGTGACCTGGAAACAACTTAACTGTTTCCTAAGTTGAAGTGGGGAAACCAAGTCACTAACAAAGAGATCTGAATTATGCTGTTTAAATTACAGTGTTGTCGTCTCAATGTAACTTTCGTTTTCTTTGCTGTTTCTCCTTAACCTTTTTGTGAGCAGGACTGTTAATGCTGCCTTCTGATAAAATGCTCTTCCTTTCTTTACATTGGCAGTTCTGAAAGCGTGAAGCAGAGAAGTGATGTATTTTACCTTCAACCTGAGCGCTCCTGTGTACCCAATAGCCCCATGTGGTATTCCACATTGCCAATAGACCCAGGAACCTTGGACATCATGTTAACACGTATTCTTATGGTGAGGGAGGTACACGAAGAACTTGCCAAAGTCAAATCAGAGGACTCTGATATTGAGTTATCAGACTAACTGAAGTGGGGTATTTTCCTTTGAATACACATCGAAGCACCAAACTGTGAATACGTCCAGCCTTTGGAAAATGTGTATCAAATAAGCCAAGATAATGTCACCTACAGGCGTATTTTGAACCACAGTGGATGTACAAACTGGAACTGGAAGGAAGCAAGCTGTGTAAGCTGCAAGAAACAACGTCCTTGGCACAGATAAATCCTCTGAACAAATTCAAGATGAACTAACCTGTTTGAGCGGTGCATAAATCCTTTATCTGTTTAGGATTTTAAAAAGTCGTGCGGTATTTTTAAGGAAAATGGCTGTGTAAAATCTACCATAACAATGTTGGGCATGGAGAGCTAGACTGTGGCTCACGTGACTTCTCAGCCTGATGGCTGGCAGTCCTTGCTGCCAAAGAACACGTGGAGATCCTAGAGCTCTTCACGAGGACAGGAGAGAAAGTGGTGATACTTAGACAAACAGACACCTTCCGTTATAAGTACACGTACACATACGCTTTTATAATTTTTCTGAAACTGGGATCAAATGTTAGGAAGGCAGAAGCCGCTGGCATTTCTGCCAGGGAAGCTGTCTAAATGGACAACTGTCTGGCTGCTGTTAAATGGTCACACGATGCCAGAATCTAGCTCTCGGTCCAGGCTCATACCAACTCTAGCTCTCTTCAGTCTTCGACATGGAAGAGGTGCTGTAGGTCAAACTTCAGAGCGATCGTGTTACGGGACGAACATTTCTGGGGTATGTACAGGAGAGTGACTGTCCTGGGGTATGTGCAGAAAATCCCTTACCTAGCCCAGTAGCTCTGCAGTCTGTCGATATAACCTAGCGAATACTGTGGTGCGCGGAAATTTTTTTTCCCTTAAGGCAGCTTTCCTTTCTCCTCTTCCCCTACTCCTATGGTTTTGGTTATTTTATAAGGCAAATCTGGAGGGCCTTGTCATTTCAAATGAAAGATACATGCACTCTTTCTCTTTCCACCTTTGCAACACGTGCAGTGTTGTACAAAGGATGCAGTATTACTTTTGACAACAGAACTGTGGTAGAAAATTACCATGTGTGTTTTTTTCCCACCCCACCCAAAGAGATTTAGTCATAGTGTTGGAAATCGAAAGAGATTTTTTTAAGGCTTGGCTGTTACTGCGTCTTTTTGAAGAGAAAAGCTCCCACATGGTGTTTGGAGGACAGGACATTATCAGATACTGTCTGTATCTCTGTTTTCTCAAGATATAGATGTGTGTTTCTGGTGACCAGTGGTCACAAATTCATTGGAAACCCAAACTATTTTTAAAGAAGAGAATTGTATGGTTTTTATCTAGCTCTGGTCAGTTATCCATCTTCTGTAACAGGGGTCTGATACTTGATCTTGTCACTAAAATTTCAAGAGATGAAAATCAACAGCCTTGAATTATATTTCCTTTTTTTTGTTTTGTTTGTTTTTGTTTTTTCATTATTTTTTTAGCAGTAACAAAAGTAATTTAACAAAAATAAAATCAGAAAGTAGTCTATTGACGTTGTGTACTCGGTAGTCCTGTCCCTGCCTGTAACAGATTTCACTGATGTATTTTTTAATACAGAAAACTATGTGAAAAGTAAACCTGCCCCTGATTCTGTCTGATCAAAGCCCATCTGTGTCTGTCATTTCTGATCAAAGATACTGCTTTCTCCATGTCCTGGCCTGGCACTCCCGGGGGAGATGTTTCGGCCGCAATATGTACCCTGCCAGTAAGCTACCCAGGCACTCGGAGGCTCAGGGATGCTCCTGTAGGCTGATTTCTTGTTCTGTGAACACTAACCCGTCCCCCCCCATAGTTATATTAAATAGTGAAATAGGAAGCACGGTATTTTGTATTGGGATGGTTGATAGAAGGCGTCAGGGAAAATAAAATCATTCTGGAAAGGCTAGTGTGTAGCTCTGTAGGGGATCAAAGAAGTCCGAGCTGTGTCTGCTGCACACGGGTGTGCCCAGAACCTCGATGTCAGTAGGAGAGGGAAAGGATCCAGGAATTTCTGTATTTCCTGGGCATCCCCTGCAAGAGTGCAGCTGTTCTTGGCTGCAGCAGGCTGACCTTGCCCGCTCCCTCCTTCCCTGACCGCCCCCAGGGAATAAGCAAGGGAGCAAATAGGACAAGCTGTTGGGAGGGCAGGCTTTCATTGGGTGGGGATTGTCTGAAAAATAATACCACATCTGAGTTTTCCCTCAACAGACATTAACAGAAATATTCCCATAGAATAAAGTAGTATATTTGTATCTTATGAGAAAGGTTCTCATTTTTCTTTTGCTGAAGACCCTCCCTCTTTCCTGTCTGTGAACACTTTCACGTACGTTAATTTTTTCCAGGTACTTGGAACGAAAGATGCTTGCCTCTCATATTCTCTCAGCAAGGAAAGGTAAATCACTTTAAGCTTGACTGGCTGAAAGCAAAGTTGCTAAACATTGTGCTAACTCCTTTTACTTAGTGGCTGTGAGATGAGAAAGGTTTCAGTGCAGTTCGGTGGTGGAATTAACAGAACGAGTAGTTTCGGTTTCAGTTTCTCTGGTCAGATGCTTGGAGGCCCTTTGGCAACGGTATGCGTCGTCCAGGGCGTGCCTGGGCTATCTTTGCCTTGCAGGGACTTTCTGGTCAGCCCAGCAAGAGTTCACACTGGCTTACAACATGGATTGATTACCTTGAAGGATTAAAATACGGATTATACAGACGGGGTCAAAGTTCTGAACACTTAGACAAAGTTGTTTATAACAAACATAGCTGAATCATTTGCTGACCGTACAACAATGTTTATTACTTGAAATATTCTTTTAAGGAGAAACATCATGCTGTAGTCTCAGTGTGGGCAGAGAAACGACAAAGATGAGTGTGAGAAGGAAAAATAGAAGACGATGCTTCCTGCTAACAGGGTTTCTATCGCTATGCCTTCCCACTGCTAGACACGCGTTGTTTAACTCCCCTTCATTTCCAGCGTGCGGGGATGATGGTGTAGCTGTGCAGACTGGTTTGAGAGTGTGGAAGTGAGCGTGTCGTGTTACTTGTTGCCGAGTGTATTCACGGTTCTGGCTGCTAACGCAAGTCTTCGGATTTTGCAGAGACTTTTGTTTAAAATGCTTCTGGAGTGTGGCTATTACCTCCGCGGCGCCGGCAGTTTCCTGGCAGTTCTCACTGCGAGAGGTGCTCGGTGCAGACCTGCTGCTCTCTCCTGGCTTTGGTTGACTAAAGAAGGAAACTGGGGGCATGCTGAATGCCACGGAATTAGGTGCAAAAAGAAGTTAATTTATCTTCTGAATTATTCTGCCAAGTACTAATCTAAAGAAACCCCTGGATTTCTCTGGCAGTAGTCTCCAGCCGAGTGATGGCTCCTCAGAGACTTGAAATAAAACGGCAGCAAAGTCAGTCATTTCTCGTTTCCCCAGGGTGTGCTCCCACAACGGCGCAGCTCCACCGGTGCCGTTTCAGTGCAAGGGTCACAGAAGTGACTCTGAATGTGCAATAAAGTCTTTGGGTTTTGGTAACAATCTCAGTAACTCTTCCCAGTCCCTTGAGCAATAGTTTCCCTGTTGCCTTAAAAAAAAAAAAAACAACAACAACAACAAAAATGCTCGTGTATGAAATCCTTATGGTGTTCTCAAACCACTGTCACTGTGCTCGCTTTCCAGGCTGGAGTTTTGCTCCCGTCAGCACAACAGGTCCCCCCCTCTTTTTCTTTCCTGTGTCATCATTTTAAACATTCCTAACAGAGCAGAGGCAAAATTAAGATTTGCTGTCTTCTGTTAAATAGCTGCTCATCTGCAGTGTGTCCCCAGTAGCACCATCAGCTGTGCAAGACTTAAAGAAATAACAAATTTTGAGCAGCTGAGCTACTGAGCAGTTACCATTCCTTTCTTTTGCAAGAGAAACCATCCAGTTTTGAGGATGGTGTTTTGTAACCGAGCATGAGCACCAAAATTCTGGAAAAATCATGGATCATTGCTGAGGAGAAGGTCTAGAGGGAGTTTTAGGAGCAAGGAAGCAGAGTGTACTCTGCCTCTTAGAGTTGCAGGTCTTGCCTCGCTGATGGCTGGCATGAGTGGAGCAGGCATGAGCCGCTGCTTTTCATCTCCTCATCCTTGGCAGATGAAATGGCGAGCCTAGTCCCTACACTACCACCTCTGATCTTGTCTTACTGTGGTCAGCTGCTTGAGAGAAATCTCTTTCCCCAGCATGACAGCTGTGGGTTTGTCGAGCAGGTAGGGCTAATTCTGCTTTTATATCTCCCCTGGGAGGAAAAGGTTGGCTTGAAGAGGGGATAGAGTGTTTTTGCACAATGTTACTGCATTTGTTAAGAAGTTGACTCCAGCCCTTACCTAGAAGTTGGATTTTTTTAAACTAAGGGGGAATTTACTCAGTCCGTCCTGTGGCATGAACAGATGCCCTCTCACTTCATCCCGTGGCTCCCACATCAAGCCCATAGCACCTGGCTGAGCTGTGAGATCTTGCATTTTTATCTTCAGTTTCCTCCCCCCGCCATTTCCAAGAAGCATTTGGTAACTTTTCTTTTGTGTTGTGCTTTATGAGGAAACTCAGAGTGAGTGGTGGCAGAGGAGCCAACGGAGGGTGCTGGGAAGGGTCAGGGCGGTGGGGTGCTCTTACCGTGTCCTGGCCTGGCTTGGGCAGGTGGGCGATGGTACACGGCAAGAAGCCAATGTGAATATTTAAGTCTCTAGGTTTCATCATTTCATATTCAAAGCATCTCAGTTGGATGCTATTAAGAAAAATTAGTGAATGTGAGCACAGGTGATAGATGGGACAAACTTAGAACCGGAATTTAAAAGCGTTTCAGTTCCTGCACCTAGCATGCTATCGCTTCTGCTGTTTCGTGGCAAATTGCAAAATCTGCAACAGCTTTTTTATTTTTCAGTTTTCATCAATAGATGCTGCTGCCGTGGAGGTCTTTAGTGCTCAGTCGATGGCACCAGTGCTAGATCTGGTCCAGGGGGTGTTGCAAGGCTTTAGAATGGTTTTAAGAGCCATAATGGCTCGAAGGAGCCCAGGCATCTTGGATTCTTCCAGCCACACTACTTCAATTTCCGTTGGACGGTAACATTCACTAAGCTAATGGTTTTTCAGCAGAGATACGGTTTTTATTAAAGAAACAAAACCTGAAATACCTTAGATTATCACCTGCTCGGAGGGAAAGAAGGAATTTGTTACAATTAAACAGTCAAGCTAAAGAAAGCAGCAAACACCAAATCTCAGAATGCGTCCCAAGTGCACGCTTTTAATTAACACAAATCCGG